TTGTTAACTCCAGGATTTTAGTCACTGTAAGATGGATACCTGGATATCAAAAAAAAAAAAAAAGGTGACAAAAAGGTATTGGACAATAAAAACAAACTTAACACACATACAGTAATATATAGTTCCCACAACTGGTTAAATTAATTAGAGTGAATTGTCCAAATGATTACTGAACTTTGCTAAAAGTTTTCAAGGGATCACTGAATTTTAAAAATCACCTAAATGGTCACTGAATTTTGCAAAAGATTTGTACGAGATCATTAAATTTTACAAAAGGTTTCCCTGAAGTGACCCCGTGGGAAACCTTTTGTAAAGTTCAGTGACCCTGTAGAAATATTTTGCATAGTTCAGTGACCATTTCAGTGATTTTTAAAGTTCAGTGACCTCTTGAATTTTTTTTGTAAAGTTCAGTGACCATTTGGACAATCCACTCAATTAATTATTATATAATTTATATAGAAAATAAGACCTTTTGAAAATAAGCAAAAGATAAACAAGAATAGACTTGGGCATCGGTGGATCGGTCTGGTATTTCGATACCCAGAATCATCCATTATATTTCGGGTATTTCACAAATAGAACCATTCCGATCCATTATTAGGACCGTAACTTGAACTGAAATCGACGGAGTCGGTTCCGATTCCAATACGGATTTGGTTCTACCTATAACACTTTTTCAAGAAAATCGTGACTTGGCATACAAATTTTGTTTCAATATCTAGCAGAAAGAGAAGAAATGAAATATGTTACCAAATACATATTTCAATACTTTCTTAATTCAATGCAAATATATCACCAAAAATATTCAAAACCTAGCATAATGCTATCCAATTCCAACTTTGGCTCTGCATGTGGCACCTCAAGAAAGGTTTGTGGGATAGACTGTATAAAGTGCGATAACAATTGACTATGAACGAAAGCGATATCATTTATTTATTCAAATGAATAAATCTGATTGATTAGGTGCATACTAATTAGGCTAAGCACTAGCTGGGGCTTGCAAACTTTTACTTATTGCGATGGGTCATTGGTTTAAGTTGAAAATTTTAAAAAAATTAAATTTATAAAAAAATGATAACTTCGATTTTGAAGTTAGGTATCCATGTTTCCGATTCAAGAACAAACAACCGACCTGGACCAAGTGAATTCTCGATTTCAAAATTATTTTTTTGAAATCCTAATGTTCAATTTCATTTGATATGCCCCACTCTTAAACAAGAAACAAAAATGAGAATGATATATTGTTGTTTGAGCCCCATTTTAAGTGAAAGAATGCATTTTTAAATAGTGATTGTTGGAAAATGTGTGATTAAAAATTAAAGAAAATTTATGGGTTTGGGTGTAACATTATTTTATTGAAAAATGTGTAGTTAAAAATGAATTTTGAAAAAATGAATTTTTGGAAAAATGGGGCTATAACAAAGACAGTCTATTCCTCCA